AAATATGAGGACTTTTTTTGTGGGGAGGTGGGTGGGGGTTAACTTACTTGAGTATTGGAAGAAATAACTAAACGTGAGGGTGGCGGGAGATGAGTGTGAAATACAGAAGACTCACAAAAAAAAAAAAAACAGGAGTGTTGGCACTGCATAATATCAATGTGCCCCTTGCAGCCATGGTAGGGCATCAAAGTTCCTTGATCATAATGCTGGATCAAGAGTAGTTTCTAGCCATATCAATCTAGAAAATAGCATTTTGTCATAATCTGTCAGTCTTAATACATGGTGTAACTACTGAAGGGTAAAGCTTTAAAAAGAAAATTATCAAAACTTGTATTTTTGAGCAAGATGCTACTTTAACCCACACCGGTCCTACGCCACCCAACCCGCTCCAAGGAGGCTAAAGACCATGGCCTAGAGCTTCTGTCGCTAGAGTATCTTTTTCTGGGTTCAGAGGAGTGAGGCTTACCTGCACAGCACTTTACTAGCTGGCCTCTAATAACCTCACCCCTCTAAACCTCACTTCCATTTGGGCCGCGGCACCAATGTAATCTCTTACACCACCCAACCCGCTCCGAGCTGGGATTGAACTGGAGACTCTCCGCATGCAAGTCAGTTGCTCTAACAAGGAGGCTAAAGACCAAGGCCTCTAGCTTCTGTCGCTAGAGAAATTGTTTAGGGTTCAGAAGAGTGAGGATTACCAGCACTGGACTTTACTTTCTGGCATCTGTTACACTTTTGGTCCAATCTGATTCAGTGATTTATGTTAAGCTAAGCTAAAAGTGTTCTTTCCAGACCCAGAGACTGGCTGAATGAATTAAAAAATGGTCAATCCAATAATGAGTTCCTGAATATGTTAGCTGAAACATTAACATTACTTTATACGTCCTTTCTAGCGAACTATCTACAAAAAGAAAATTCCCTCACCAATTGAACTTTTGGGGATCGAAGCTGCAAATCTCACCATGTCAACTTAACAGGTTAATTTATGAACTATGGGTTACAAAACTGGTTGTTCCTGTGTACCGACATAAATTCAATGTTACTCTTTGTCCCTTACAGGCTGATGTCATAGAACATTTCTGGAGGACTAAACTGACAACGTGAAATGAATGAATCATCAAATGTTGTGAATTGTTTGTACATTCCGGACATTTGATTAATTATTGATTTGGATACTAAATATGTGCTTAAAAGCAACATATGTTAAGTACTCCAACAAATAAAACATGCATGAAGAGATCATCTGTGGGATTAATTTATTTTATGATAGTTCATCATAATCCAGCCTAGATAGATTTACTTGTAGAGTCTCAACAACATTAATCTTTATGTTCAGAATGTTAATGAGATGGCACAGACTAGCAACACCTGAAAAACAAATTATGAGTGTACAGCCTAGCTTCATGGGCTGCTTCCAGTGGAACCAATTGGAAATAAATATCTTTAGTTTTGTGAAATGTTGCTATGAAAGTTATTCAAAACTCTTTTATTGTATAGACCACAATAATCTATTGTACAGAAAACTTTTTGCATGACTGATAGCAGGGCTATTTTTGGTCAACACTGCTGACTGATATTTTGGTTGTTAAGTATTCATTTGATCTCATGTGGCCTAACGGGGCCTGAAATATCATCACATTATAACTATGTTAATGTTGCACTAGAATGAAGTGCAACCATCTTAAATGCCAGTCTGAACAACAGCTCGGTGACCTACTTGGACCTGCAACTTCTCCACAATGGACACTCTAACGGAAATCCAGGCTAGCTCTGCCTGGAATGTTTGACCAGAAGATAACTGATCTCCATTTCTGTCTGTTTGTAGAGTTTTGGTTCCTTACCACTGCCACTGGGGCTTGTGTGGACCTGCTCTTCAGTGGATTGGCCTTCAACAGTGACATTAGGATCAAACTGACACACACAGCCTTCTCAAATCAGTTCATCCAGAAATTTTAATCTGATCCCCTTGTTTGAAGAACCAAATTAGCCAGAAATGAGATACCAAGATTAAAAGATTCAGGATCTGCCAAATCATCTAAGATCATTTGAGATGGGTACGAAGAAAAGACTCCTATTCTCTCATACCCAAACAACAGTATTCCAGCAAAATCCTAGCACCTCCTGCCATGATGTACAAACCCATCACCCTTACCATATGACACCTACCCCAACTACCCAATGACCTGCAACATATAAGCAGGGACCAGGACCCCTCCTGTTTTAAAAGTTTTTAGTTGTGCAATACACTTACTGGTTAAATGATCATTACTAACAAGTTGGAGTTTTAATTATGACAATAAGTTATCATTATGTTGTTTATTTACAGTATAGAACTTTTGCTACATTTCTGCATAGTGGGCACATAGCAATTCCGGTAGGATACTATGAACTTCCATTTCAAATTGTCATCATCCAGAACATCATTTCTCAACTGGTTGGTCGTGATCCAAAACGGATGGCAGTACTGTTTTAAAAGAATTATGGTGTGTTTTGTGTGTGTGTGTGTGTGTGTGTGTGTGTGTGTGTGTGTGTGTGATGCACAACTTCTTCTTGCTGTTTGTTTGCAACAAAATCTTGCTGTTTTCTGACATTTAGGCGAGGCCCAAATGCATGCGAAAAATGTTCTCCTTAGTGAGTGTCTGCCATCAGATGTTGAAATAGAATGTTATTATTCTAAAGTAATTTTTCTCACTTGGTACAAAATAAACTGCCTCACGCCTAAGGATAAAGTAACTTTTCAGACCTTTCAGCAGTTAAACGGTGCTCACAGCATGCTCTTCAAATGCACACAGAAAAACAAGGAATGAGGCTCACTGTGGCTTCTCCTACTGCAGTAATTTCCATTATTCTTTTAGTAATCCGGCATCAGTTTATCAGGAAGTGACAATTTTCGTTCACTTTGACTCATTGGATGGAAACATGCTACTGTTTTAGAGTGAAGTTTGGAGACTTATGCCTGGTTTATACTTTTGTGTCAAGTGATCGGCGTGACCCACAGTGCATGCAACGCGTGTAGCTGTACATTCATACTGTTTCTGTTTTTCTGCAATAACACTTCCAAAATGCTAGTTGGCAGTAGGTATTTATGTTCCTCTGTGTCGATTTTCTTCGTTGGGGTTTTGTTTTTTTCTGAACACTTCCTTAACGTACAAGTGGTTCAAACTCACTCATTTTGAGGCAGGAAATGGCAAAAGTGCAATTCTTAGAGCCATTCTTTGCTGGAATCGAACCCCGTCATTGTGGTCAGGTCCTCTCTGCAACTTAAGTCCATTGACATACATGGCGAGCTAACTGGACAAACTGGTAACAGCGTCCATGTGAAGGTAAAGCCGAGTTCAGACTGCATGATTTTCAAAGTAGTCATGTCACAGATGTTTTCACACTGCATGACTATTTCGCTGCTTTACACTACAAGATGGATGGGCGACAGGGGCTTTCACATTGCATGACTTTACAATAGGAAGAGTCGCTGACAACTTCATCCAAACTAGGTCTCACTGCCAAAAACACATAGAATATCTTTTGTTCTTAACTACATAACAAGAATGAAGCCTTTAATGGGGTAGAAAATGTACATCTTTGCTCACCTGGTTTTAAAGGAAATTAGATATTTCTCCTCAACATCTTTTTTAACTTTCTGTATGAAACGTCAAACAGACACGGGTGCTCCTGTCAGACCTCCACTAGTTTTTCCTCCATTACTTGGGTCCAAATAAACAGAAAATGAGCGCTTTAACTTCACCTTCAACCTCCCGCTGCTCTCTCATTGTCTGTAGGCGATCGCCGATGTTATTTTCAGTCAAAACTCATTTCACACAGCATGATTTGAATCGCCAACAGTTCCAGATATTTAGCATGCCAAATATCCCACAGGCATCGGCGACTCATCGGCGAATCTCTCAGATCATGTCTTTGATCCCTGCTGAAAAATCGAGCTTAAACCAGCCTAGGCTGGTTTTAGCTGGTTGACCAGCCTGGTTTTAGAGGGGTTTTGGCCATTTTCAGGCTGGTTTCCAGCCATTTCTGGTCTTAGCTGGTCAGGCTGGTAAATAACCAGCTAAAACCAGGTTGACCAGCCTGGTTTAAGCTGGACATAGCTGGTTTTGGCTGGGCTCCCAGCCTGGCTAGGCTGGTCAAGCTGGTTTTAGCTAGTCATCTTTCAGCCTGACCAGCTAAGACCAGGCTGGAAATGGCCAAAACCCCTCTAAAACCAGCTTGGTCTACCAGCTAGGTAGTAGGCTGGTTTAAGCTGGATTTTTTAGTAGGGATAGTTCATACGGTGTGATTGTTACTCACGTGCGCAAGCACCGATTTGCCTTTGATTTTAGGCATTTGTCTGTGATTTCTCAAAACCTGTCGGCAAGTCAAAATCGGGGCTAAAATTATGCAGTCTGAACTCGGCATAAGCGGTCAGCTGGTAAGCGCAAAAAGGAATGACATCATACCACCACAAAGCATTCGCTAATAGCTACATAATTCGCAATCTTCAGAAATGTATGCAAGGCTATGTTTTTAGAATATGCCTATGTTGTTTTACCTAAAATACACTCTGACTTTAAATGTACATATGCCATGTAATCCTATTAAACCATTTCTGAGAATCCTAAAAAACAAATGCAATGGGCAGCAAGCAACAATGGAGAAAGCAACATTCATTCACTTCACTTGTGTAGTTAATGTTGATAATTATTTTTAAGGAATGTGATGCTATATTTATATTTTATAAGCAAATAAAATGAACACTATTATTTTATACTTATTGTTTAAGAGTAAATAAAAAGCACGACAAGTAGGTGTTTTTGTTCTCTTGCCTTTAAAATGAATGTGATACAATACTTTATATACTGTACACAATACTTGTAAAGCCAAACAGAAAACGGAGATGGTACAACTGTCATGGGCTATACTAAACAGGGATTAGTGAATGAGTGAGTGGTTTTGAACACAGCTAGTGGGTGATGTTTCTGTTCAGCTGCAGCTCCTCACATCTGATTGGAGCCCTAAGGTTATTATAATAAGACGAGAGCGCTTGCAAGCCATACTGCGCATAGAAGGATCAGAGACTCTCGCAATACCCACATCATGAACACTCTAGTGCTTTTTGTGTTTCATGTATTATTTCTTGGAGTTCATAAAATACAGTGTAAATCTCACCCAAAGCCTTCATGTGGATACCCTCCATCCCAATGGTGCAGGTCTCTGGAAATTGCCATAGAATGTGAGGTAAGTCTGTTTAATGGGTTGATTTTTTATTGTTGTAATTGTTATTATAAAATTGTTATTATTATAATTAGCTAACTTCACATAAGCTATATTTTTGCAGATCTAAATCATGCTTGTAATGGTTTTTGGCGTGTTAATGTTAGCTGAAATTTTAAAGATGCTTTTAGAGGTATGGCAGATTATGTTTAAAACATTTTAGGTTATTTAAAATACAGAATTATTAACATATTGTCACTTAAATTATGCATTAATATGGCTAGTTTGCAGGATTTTACTGACCATTTAGAATATACATTTATGAAATGGTGAACAGGATACACCGGTCTTCTAACGAACCTATATTAAGCATCTTTTTCAAAGGCTTCTTTGTGCTGGCAAATTGGTATCATGCTTTAGAACACAAACAGCTTCCAATTAGATTTTAGGCCACGAGATATCCCAGGCTTTGCATCATGGGTTTGATGAGGCTCCTCATGTTGACAGCCGAATGTCCATAGCATGCTCTGTGCAAATGGTTCAAAAGTTAATCCTAAATAATTGGCTAAAAATGTGGGGGTTTAATATTTGCCATTTATAGCATATCCTTTTTACTTTTGCCTGAATGTGACTGCTCCTAATGAGCTACTATTCAAGATGTGACCCAAATTTGTGGGTACAATTATTAATTAAGGCTAATCCCCCACCCACCCTTCTGTTCATCACAATTTTTTAAAATTAATTCTTAAATTAATAGTTAACCTAAAAATACAATTAACCTATAATTTACTCACCCTTTAGTTCATCCTGGCTCTTTCGTGTTACAAAATGGTGTTGGATTGTGGCTTTTATTTTGAAGCTTCTAAAAACACATACAGTTGAGGTCAGAATTATTAGCCCCCCTGTTTATTTTTTTCTCCAATTTCTGTTTAACGGAGAGATTTTTTTTCAACACATTTATAAACATAATAGTTTTAATAACTGTTTTATTTTATCTTTACCATGATGACTGTAAATAATGTTTGACTAGATTATTTTCATGACTCTTCTATACAGCTTAAAGTGACATTCAAAGGCTTAACTAGGTTGATTAGGTTAACTAGGCAGGTTATTAGGGTAATTAGGCAAGTTATTGTATAACAATGGTTTGTTCTGTAGACTATAAAAAAATTGCCTAAAGGGGCTAATAATTTTGTCCTTGAAATGGTGTTTTAAAAATGTTAAACTTTTTTTAATCTAGTCGAAATAAAACAAATAGTTTTTTTTCCAGTAGAAAAAATATTATCAGACATACTGTGAAAAATTGTTATATATCATTGGAGAAATATTTAAAAAAGAAAAAAAATTCACTTCAACTCTAAATACATCTTCAAACTAACTCAAACGGTGCCAAGGGGTTAGTCTTAGGCTATGTCCACACGTATACGAGTATTTTTATTAACAGTTTTCCCTGCTTTTGTTTGAATATATATATATATATATATATATATATATATATATATATATATATATATACCTGTCCACATGAAAACGCACTGTGAAGCATGTTAAGGGCACACCAAACCAACAGGCGGAGATAATTACACTTTTATGCTGGGTACATACCAAATGGGCATTTAAGTATTTTTGCGAGTAAATTGCACACAAATCAATGCAAATGTGGGAACAGAGGCAGATTACAACCACAATGTTGAGCAATCCGTAATATGTCCGCGAACATTTAAAAATTTGCCTTATTTACATCTTCTGCATTTGGTGTGAACCCAGCTGTGTTGGCCGATCAGAAAGGAGAAAACATCAATCACGCTAATATCATGAGGCGAAAACTCTGATTGTAGTGTCCACATGACAACACTGCACCCTGTGTCTCACCTTGGAGTTTTTAGAAAGTTGCGGTATCAGTAACCCAATAATCCGTTTTGGTGTGGACAAAAAGCAAAACCACATAGAAAAAAGTGCAGCTTTGAAAATGCCAGAGTTCGTGTGTATGGGGCCTTATGAAGATGTTTGATCCATTCATTCATTCATTTTCTTGTCGGCTTAGTCCCTTTATTAATCCGGGGTCGCCACAGTGGAATGAACCACCAACTTATCCAGCAAGTTTTTACACAGCAGATGCCCTTCCAGCCACAACCCATCTCTGGGAAGCATCCACACACATTTACACACTACAGACAATTTAACCTACCCAATTCACCTGTACCACATGTCTTTGGGAAACCGGAGCACCCGGAGGAAACCCATGCAAAGGCAGGGAGAACATGCACAGAAATGCCAACTGAGCCGAGGTTCGAACCAGCGACTCAGCGACCTTCTTGCTGTGAGGCGACAGCACTACCTACTGCGCTACTGCCTCGCCCTAAGATGTTTGATGTGTTTTGTAAAAAAAAAAATTAAAAATCTTTGCATGCTTGCTGTAGTTGCCAAAACAAGCAGTGATTTTTATGATTATTATTATTTTAAATCATGTATCTGATGTGTTGAATATTTTTGACAATGCAGGTGCAGAAACAATGCATGGAGCTGAATGCAAGCCGGTTAGACCCAGTAGTTCCTCCTGTGGAAATCTCTCTGTATTATGAGAGTCTATGTTCAGGCTGCAGAGCATTCCTCACTGAACAGCTCTTCCCAACCTGGACTTTACTCAAAGATATAATGAAAGTCAACCTGGTACCCTTCGGCAATGCTAAGGTACATTTCAGTTTTATTCATGATGTAATGGAGGAAATGTTACTTGAATTAGTTTATAATTATTTACCTTTATAAATATTTTTAATAATCTTGTTCAGGAAGTTCCTGAAGAGAATTCATTCTCATGTCAACACGGAGAACCAGAGTGCTACGCTAACATGGTTGAGGTGAGTTTGAGAGCTTACACAGATGCATTTTATCTAGCTTGTGGCAAGCATATTCAAACATTTTCTCAAGCTAGGGGAAAAAGATAAATTGAATATACAGAATTAAGTAGCGTTTCCTCAACGCAAAGGTCAAAAACATGATAGGAGAGGACAAGGGCTGCGTCCGAAACCACCTACTACTCAGTAGGTACTGCATTTGTATTTAAACATACTACTCGGCTGTTAGAAAAGTGCGTTCTCTACAGTATGAACGTGAAAAGTATGAGTGGAATTCGGACGTACTACATCCGCCATTTTGTCATGGTCACGTGACCTACCTGCGGCAATTGCGTCGCTTTACTCCCATTTATGAATTCGTTCGCGGGGCATTATGGGATAGCGCAGCATGCATGGGATGCGCACTCTAGAATCTCGCAGGAAGTAGTAAGTCATCCGGGGACTTCTCGCATACTGATTTTCGAATTCTTTGAATTCGGACATACTACTCGGCTCGCATACTGATTTTAGCGTACTACATAGTATGGAAGTATGCGGTTTCGGACACAGCCAAGGAAAAGCTTTGAATTGCTCACTTACAGCTTACAAGACTCAGCAACGATATGTGTCTTGGACAGCTTCAGCTGTGTGGGTTTGCAATCAAGGGGAATCTGGGCCAGGTGTGTGAGTGAAGTGCATGATGAGAGCTATAGTTCATTAAAGTGGCAGATTTGTAGTTCTCCAGCAATCTGCAAATGCTAGATCACTGGTGATCGTGACAGCAGCTTGCTAGATTTTTTTTCCCCCGTTGTTTTAATCTATAAAGATTTCTCTAGTTTACTTGCACCTACCTACTCAATATTTCCTTCTCTTTTTCCATAGGCTTGTGTTTTATATGAAGCCACTCATGCTGCATTCCCTGTCATTCACTGCATGGAGTCATCTGCAGATGTAACACAATCAGCTAAACCTGTAAGCATCTCTGAGCCAACATTACTCTACTGTATTCTGTTAATGGCAGTAAACCACTGTGAGTCTTTGATTTTCTTTGCCAGTGTTTGCAGCTGTACGCGCCATTCATAAAATGGGAGACCATAGAATCCTGTACAAGAGGAGAGCTTGGCCATAGTTTAATGCACCAAAATGCAGTAAAGACGCAAGCGCTCAAACCTGCACATACTCATGTGCCCTGGATCACCATCAATGGGGTGAGCTCTTCTCAAAGCTGAGTATTTGCATGATATTGTCTGTCAAGTTGAAATGAAAGACACTGCCCTGCAGGCACAGGACGTCAACATGATGTCATACTGACGTTGCACCCCAATTTACCCCAACGTCACGAGAACTTTGGATTTTGTTTGGAAATGAGAATCAGGTTGACGTCAAAACCCAACGTCAGGCCGACGTCAATGTCCAACTTAAAGTCAACCAAATATCAACGTCTAATCATGTTACACCTTAACGTAGTGTGGACATCAGCACTATGATATCTATCAGACGTTGGATTTTGGTCACTTTCTAACACAACCTAAAATCAACCAAATATCAACGTAATTTGACACCATTATTGAACGTAAAAAGACACTGGTAAAACATTAAATTTTGGTCACCTGACATCATAACCTAAATCTAACCTAATATTATTGATGTTGTGTGCCTGCTGGGTAATATTACTGAATTAAGAGTTTGACACATAATTGCATTTTCTTCCTCAGAAATACACTAGTGAATTGGAAGATAAGGCTATGTCCACTCTCTTTAATCTTGTGTGCAGCTTGTACAAAGTATGTTTGGGTGCCTTTTCTATTTCTATTCCTTATTTAATTACTGGAATCCTGCAGATGCTTACCAACAGGACTTAACTAAGAACCTTGTGTACTTCTCTTGAAGGGAATCAAGCCACCGGTCTGCACTGGAGCCCTGAAAAAACTGGACAGAAGCTTTTGCTAGTGGAAAGAAAATGATTGTTACAAATAAAACATCACATAAATGTTGTTGTTGTTTTTTTTTTACATTTGCCTATTGTATATTTTTAGGATAAATAAAATCATATCATTCTAGCAGTATTTACTATTTTCAAAGAAATGTTATTTTAAGTTTTTTTTTTCTGGCAGCTAGGGTGCTGGAAAAATTTACGTAAAATAACGGCTGGTAATTTACAGACATTTACCATAAAATAACAAGACAGTAAAATACGGAAATGTACATTTAAGGAAATTTCTTATAATAAAGTCTGTTATTTTATAGTAAAAGTCTGTAATTAAACGGTCATTATTTTACGTTTTTTTCCCACCACCCTGGCTGCTGGAAAAAAAACCTGTAAAATAACAGATCAAAGTATTTTTTTGTAAGGAATAATTGATGATGGGCCGCTGTATTATTAGAAAAATGATGCAAGGCCGTTACACCTCAGGTGTCCATTATTTTTCTATAAACTCTATTACATCTTATCCCTAATTTGTGGAATTGGTAGTGTTACAACTTTCCCTGTGTTTCAACTATACCCGGCCACCCCATATGTAAACTTTTGGATCTTATAAAGCTGTCCCCCCACTTTTAAAATATCTGCTACGCCCCTGGCCATATATTACATTGCAAAAAAAAAGACATATCTACTCATTTTTAAATCAATGTGCATTTTCTATAAACAAAAGATACCCTGCTGAAAAAAAACAGCTTAAACCAGCCTAAGCTGGTTGGCTGGTTTTAGCTGGTCGACCAGCCTGGTTTTAGAGGGGTTTTGTCCACTTCCAAGCTGGTTTCCTTCCATTTCTAGCCTGGTCTTAGCTGGTCAGGCTAAAAAATGACCTGCCAAAACCTGATTTAAGCTGGACATAGCTGGTTTTGGCTGGACTCCCAGCCTGGCTAGGCTGGTCAAGCTGGTCATCTCCCAGCCTGACCAGCTAAGACCAGGCTGGAAATGGCTGGAAACCAGCCTGGAAGTGACCAAAACTAAAACCAGCCTGGTTAACCAGCTAAACCAGCCAACCAGCCAAGGCTGGTTTAAGCTGTTTTTTTCAGTGGGGTATTGTCTTGTTTTCAGTTATAAGTAAAATTAAATAGGGTTTACTTAAAACAAGTGAAATAATCTGCCAATAGGTAAGCAAAATAATCGTGTTATCGATTTGAAATATGATTATTGTGCTTACCCCATTGGCAGATTATTTTTGCTTGTTTAAAAAACAAATTTTGACATTATATATGGTAATCGGGAGACTTGTACGATATATGTCTTCACCAGCAGAGGGGAGTGTCCGAGCATTTTTTCCTGAATAAAAACGGTCCTTCAAAAACCTGTGAAGAAAAACAAAATACGTAAATAACTGAGTATTTTATTTTTCTAAAGAAAAAATTAACAAACATATTAATTTTTTATTAGTGATGACATTAAAATGTAAAGTATTTACATCAAAGGAGCAAAAAGTAACACCAATAATTTAAGTGATGTTATTGTTATCAAACGTTCAATGTTTTCCAGCAGGGGGCAGTGGCCCAGAATTCATCTCCACACAAACATGACTGTTTGTGAAAGAAAGAAAAAATCACGATGGACAAATTCTTAAAACTGACAGACGCATTGCAGTTAATCTGGTCGGTGTAAGTACATTTTGAACATTTATTGATTTTAATATTTTGCTTCTTAGTGAAAGGACAGTGATAAGCCTACGGTTTTTTTATTTAAAGCTAGCTTTCAAGAATATACCTGCCTCAAAACCTAATAGCTTTTTTTAAACATCTGTAGTTTTTTTTTTCTGAAACACACTAATGGCCTTAAGAACAGATGTACACCAGCATGTCCTCATTTATACACGTTTAAAGTCCTCATTCAAATCAACCGAATCCTGTTTTATTTCCAAAATGAATAGAGGTAAATTTGGTTTTATATTCACACATTTGTTTATTTAGAAGTCTCTATTTTGTTTACCATGTTACTTTGAATATTCCATCGGAATTACCATGCAAGTATGACTTCTAAACAACATTAACACTATCTAATTGACTGTAAACAATGCTGTACTTTGATAATTATTGGCTACTAATATGATTTACCAATTTAGAATTTTCAAAGAATACGTTTCTAAAATGTTATTATTAAGGGGAAAGTGCAAATATGCGAATATAAAACTAACTTTACCTCTGTCCAAAATGATAGGGGTACATTTGGTTTTATATTCACACATTTGGACATTCTCCTTAATAATATTGTTTGCATTGTAATAATAATGTATCATTTACAAATTATAAATAGGAAAATGATATTAGCAACCAATGCCCAAACAATGCAAAATACAACATCGTTCACAGTCAATTAAATAGTGCTAATGTTGTTTTGAAGTCATACGTGCATGAGATTTCAGACCATTTAAATTAGCGTGGTAAACAATATAGGGACTGTTAAAATGAACGAATGTTCAAATATAAAACCAACTTTACCTCAAGTCCAAAATGAAAAACCACATTTTCTTAACCAGATGAATTTTTTTTCTGATTGAAAATACTTACAAGCAGATGTACAGCTGTCTATGGAAGCCTATTCCTGCCCTAGAATTAAAATAAAATTTATTGTTACTTCTCAAGTTAAAATTCTGAGTTATAAAGTCAGAATAGCGGACACCCCCAGCAAGAAAGTCGCTGGTTCGAGCCTCAGCCGGGTCAGTTGGCATTTCTCTGTGGAGTTTGCTTGCTCTCCCTGTGTTTGCGTGGGTTGAGTAAGCTAAATTGTCTGTAGTGATGGGTTGCAGCTGGAAGGGCTTATGTTGCGTAAAACATACGCTGGATAAGTTGGCGGTTCATTCCCCTGTGGCGACCCCTGATTTATGAAGGGACTAAGCCGAAAAAAACATCCCCCCCCCGTCATCATCAATGTAAAATTCACAAATAATAACAATGGTTATAATGTCACATTTATGAAATTAAAAGTCACAATAACATTTTTTTATTATTTTATTCAGTGGTGGCAACAAACTTCCAAAGACATCCCTGATAGTTCAAAAAGGGTGGGCAAATAAATGAAGAAACACAAAATAATCAAAATAACAATTATAAAATGACATTGCCAATGTTAAATTAACATAGTTACAGTATTAATGGGGCACCTTGTAGGGCACTGTTATTCATAAAACTGGGTGTTTTTAAAACTGATTGGTCTCCTGCTATAAGTGCAGATTAACTAAACTGTAAGGGGTGGGGTGGTGCTTTACACAAGTTTGGACCAACATGAGATATAGACTAAATTACAACAGTCCTGATTCCCTAGAAAATAATTATTTGCAAAATTCATCCATTCATTTTCGGCCCTTTATTAATCTGGGGTCGCCACAGCGGAATGAACCGTCACTGGGAAACATTCATACACACTCATTCACAAACATACACTACGGACAATTTAACCTACCCAATTGACCTATACCACGTCTTTGGACTTGTGAGGGGAAACTGGAGCACATGGAGAAAACCCACGCGAACATGGGAAGAACATGCAAACTCCACACAGAAACGCCTACTGACCTAGCCAAGGCTCGAACCAGAGACCTTCTTGCTGTGAGGCAAATGTGCTACCCACTGCGCCACCGTGCAGTCTTATATACAAAATAATTTAATTTTTGCAGCTTTTGCATAGAAAGCTAGGCAGGCATTAGCTGCAACTAGATTGACACTGGAGTTTGAACATGTACAACATTTCACCACAATAATAATAGTGTGGTTTAGAAACACTGATATGAATGACACCGCTGTAAAATCATGCATGTTTGTTATTTTATTTTTAAGTAACGTCCTCACACACGCATCTTTCATTTATTTCATCTGCTAATTACTCCTCTTTCCGTTGAATCTTCAGAGATGCACCAAGTCTGACTGAGCAGATGTTCCACCAGATGCTCTTTTTACATCTTCAGACACACTCATTCCCTTCAGTATCTATCATTATCATCCATCATTACTACCGCGGCGACATAACAAGGGTGCAGGGTTCACTTCACTTGATGTAAAAGACTTTCCACCTTAACTAAGTATGGTAAGTGCATGCAACCTTAACTACAGTGAACCTAGAACTATTATTATTATTAAGTCACTCTAAAAATGGAATTATATATATATTTTTTATATATTTTTTTTTTTTTCACCCCCAAAAAAATTCTGTTTTTCCATCATTTACAGTACTCACCCTGGACTGTTCAGTTTTTTTTTCCAAAAGAAGATATTTTGAAGAATGTTGGAAAACTATGAGAATTAAAATCCATAGTAGGAAAAACAAATGCTATGAAAGTCCTTGGTTCCAGTTTTCAAACATTCTTTTTTTCTGTTCAACAGAACTCCAAACTGATTTGGAGCAAGTCGAGGGTGAGAAGTGAGGGCAGATTTTAATTAAGGGGGGTGAACTATCCCTTTAACACACACTGTGACTTAGGTCACAGACACAGATAGAAGATCATATGTAGTTAATGTGAAAATTATTTGGATGCTGTGACATACGGCAGAATTATATGACCTGGTGAATTCCTGTTAAAGCTACCGCATAAAAATTCCACACAAAAACCCATGGACAGAGCATGGCATTGTTTTCAAATTTGGAGCCCTTCTTTCTTTTTCTCTTTTGTTTTTCCTATAAAAGTTTATTATTGGTACAAGCCATGAATGTTTGCTACAAATACAGGCTCAAGACAGGAAATCCAGGATACCTATAATCCCCTGTGTGTGTGAATTATAAACCATAAAGCCTAGTCTGTTGTAAACTATTATCTCTGACAACCCTGTCATGCATGAGACAGTGCTTGCTGTTCAGCAAGGTTATCTTTCTGATTGGTCCGCTTCACATGGATTGACAAGATTGGCTCGTTCAAGTCGACAGCGTCTACATTTTTTGTTATGTTTAAAAATGATTGGGAGCTTCTAAGCCATTTGGCTTGGCTTGCTAGTTCCAAACTACGACTGTACAAGCATCAATGAGTTCCTCGTGACGTGAAAAAATGCCAATAAAAGTCATTTTGTTTAACTGTAGAGTTGAATTGTCAACATCAAAAGTCAACAAAGGAGAGATCAACACCCCATAATGTAATTCACAAACTCAAGTAAATGGAAAACACTTGTAAATCACACAATAGAGGAACTGTTAATTAACAGATATTTTTTTAAGTGTATGGTCTATGGCACAGGTGTCAAACTCCAGTCCTGGTGGACCACAGCCTTGCACAATTTCAGCCTTATTTAAAGACACCTGATCAAACTAATTAAGTCCTTCAGGCTTGTTTGAAACCTACAGGTAAGTGGTGTTACAGCCAGGTTAGAACTGAACTCTGCAGGGATATGGCCCTTTCGGGAACTGATTTTGACACCGTTGTCTACAGAATGAGACCCAGGAGTCCTTTGAAAACACAACGAAGGTCTGAAACACTTTAATCAGTGTATGAATCTCAACAATGGTGATATTAATGATGTGTTTTGTATGAGGCTCCCATAATGCACTGTAGCTTGAAGCATGTCAGCATTGTTGAGATTAATACGTTAATTCTTCATATCTGTGATTCTAAAGTTCATCATATATTCAAAATGTTAAGCGTATGATGTGTTTTAAAGCTGTACAATCACAGAGCAGTAATGAACCAAGTCACTAGTTTTAAGATTATTACGTTAATTCTTGATACCTGGGGTTTAAAATTTAGTCATATGTTCAAAATGTTAAGCACGCAAAGACCTCACTGATATTTTAGCTGCTTGTACAAATTACATATTTAAAATGAGCTAAAACAACACAATTGTTGCGTTTTGGGAGGAACTACTTAATTGTTTTATGTTCAATTAACTTAAAATTGTAAAAAAAAAAAAAAAACAACAACATTAAGTTAGCTTAATCGAATTGTGTTGGGACGACATGAAGGGTCAGCGTCAACGCTTTCCATTGACTTTAAATGGGTGATGTAAAGCGTTGCCTAACTAAATTGTGGGTCCGCTGGCGCTGATTTAGCTGAGTTGCTCGCTGCAGAAGTTGGGAATTTCTCAGCTTTTCAATGGCCAATGGAAGCATCAGCTAATCGGATCGCTTTATGCAAATACCCCAGCTCAGACAGTAGCTGATCACGGACTAAATTTATTGGCTGACACTGCTATGACGATTGCATAAGCCCCAACTTTAAACATGTCCTTCATCAAGCGTTGACGCTGAAACCCTGTGTGAATCGGGTGTTACACTGTTTTAAAGCCTAGTTAAAGCAGAGCTATCCAATCACAGAGCAACTGTAATGAACCATGTCACTAGTTTTAAGATTATTACGTTAATTCTTGATACCTGGGGTTTAAAATTTTAATCATATGTTCAAAATGCTAAACACGCAAAGACCTCAAAAATATTTTAGCTGCTTGTTCAAATTAAGTATTTAAAATGAGCTAAAACAACACAATTCTTGTGTTTTTGGGAGGAACTACTTAATTGTTTTGTGTTCAATTAACTCAGAATTGTAAAAAACATTAAGTTAGCTTAATCGATTTATGTTGGGACGACATGAAGGGAATGTGTGGAACCCAGCATTTTTTACGCCCCATGCAAGTTCATGAACACTGAACTTGAAATCACATTACCGTCATAATCAGAGTTTAAATCCACCTATCAGTGAGTCTAACTACAAACTGATGATTAATTGGTTTCTCATTCTATAACACACATTTACCTTTAGTTTAGGCATTAGGATTTTATCTCAAGCAATTTATAATGACAAATCTATTCATCTTAAAGAGACAGTACTCACATTTAGTGCTACTAATAGAAAGCATCTGGTTTTGTTGATTTTGATGTTGTCAGGGATTCTGTCTGTATGATATCAGGAAGGAACAGTGAATGAAAAGGTTCTGGAAAATGATTTAGAGCCTATTTTTCATAGTACCAAGAGTCATCGCTTACTTTCTGGCTGAAAGCTTTTGGTGGGGACGTAGATTTGTTGAAATAAGTGAAAGTCTGTGAATTTGATGCAAGCCTCAACCGATAGCCAGTGCAAGGATTCAATCCACAATTACAACAACCAAAAATGAACAAGCATGAAAAATAAAGAGCCAAAGAGCCCAAATGAAGCAAACACTGTTCACTGTAATGGTGGCTTCTAACAAATACATGATTTTCAGTAAATCTAACTAAAGAAATTATGAAGTTTGACAGAAACTAAGTGAAACTGGGTTGTACAGGCAGAGCTCATAAGAAAACTTAAGTATTTTACGTTTTGCTAGTTTAGTGGCTAATTCTTACGAATTTGTTCAAGTTCAGTCGTACGAAAATGTACCATTTTAAAAAGGAGGCATGGGACTCCACCCCTAAACCCAACCATTATTGGGTGATGAGCAAATGGTACTAAATTGTACAAATTAGATTGTACAAGTTGATACGAAATAGCCACAAAATCAAAAGGTTATGAATTGCTGTGAGATAGCGTAGAAATAAGTGAAGCTGAATCCAGCTATACAATACAATACAATACAATGTAGCTAGTATTCTGTGCTTCTGAATGACTGTCATAGCTTTAGGAAGTGTCCTGGTGGTACCAAGCATCCTCCTATCATGGGTGATGGAGGCCACTGTGCTCATTGAAACTTTCAGAGCAGCAGAAATTTTTCTGTAACCTTCCCCAAACTCGTGCCTCCAGACAATCCTGTCTCGTAGGTCTGTAGACAATTCCTGTCTTTAGGTTTGTGCTTTGACATGCACTGTCAACCCTGGGACCTTATAAAGACAGGTGTGTGCCTTTTCAAATCATGTCTAATCAACTGAATTTACCACATGTGCGCTCCAATTAAGCTGCTGAAACATCTCTGGAATGATCAGTGGAAACAGAACAGCTGTTTCTCAATTCCATGAACGCAAAGAACAGACTTGTGTTCTTGTGGAGACCGGTCTTGCCAGGTGTCTTCGGAAGAACGAATTCGGGAGACCACGAGAACAGAGAACGCGTCCTCTGAGGAATGAGATGCTGCGTTCTTCCTGATAGTCACGTGTTTTTAATGGTAAATAATTTAAACATTACAGCATTCATACAACGATTTATTGTTTTTCCCCTTTTTAATATATACTCTGCATAAAGACTTTACAAATGTACGTTACACAATATAAATAAAACAGATTTTAATACGAATTTCAGCAAACAAACACCCTTAATGTGTTTATTCCTTTATTAAGCTTTTAGCTTGCCATTTAGGGAAACTCCTGAGGTAAATAAGTGATATCTCTTAACTTTAATAATAAATCTAAATTAAATGCTGCGCTTCCCATCTCCAGTCGCAATGACTTCTGGGACTTCTAAAGCAAGTTCGGTGCTCAAGTCTGCATCGGTGCGTCCTCGATATCAAGAACACATCCGGGAAGTTTCATGCGTCCTCTGTTCTTGCGGCCTTGAGTATTAGAACTGAACTTATCAGCTGATGATGATGTTACACGAGGATGCAAGACCGCTGAAGAACGCATATTGAGAAACAGCCAATGTACCTGAGCTTAATTTAGAGCTTCATGGCACAGGCTGTGAATACTTTTGTCATGTTATTTTTCAGGTTTTCATTTTTAATAAATTTGCAACTATTTCCAAAAAACCTTTGGTCCCACTTTATATTAAGTGGCCTTAACTAATAGTTTGTTACAATGTACTTATTGTGTAAATACATGTATTTACTGTGTACTTATGCTTGATTAAATACATGAATGTAATTACATCTATAATTAACTTTTGTAATTACATTTGTAAATACACTGTTGACCATCCCTTACATTTTAACCCACCCTTAAACCTACCCATGCCACCAAACCTGTCCATAACCCAACCTCTATCCCAACTCAAATGCACCACAAGTGTTCTCAAATACATTATAAACACAGTAAGTACATTGTATTTTTTATGTAAGTACATAGTAGTTAAAGACACTTACTATAAAGTGGGACCAAACTTTTTTTCACATTGTCATTTTAGGGTGTTGTGTCTAAAATTTTGAGGAAATTTAATCCATTTTAGAATAACATAAAATAATGTGGAAAAAGTGAAGCACTATGAATACTTTCCTGATGCACTGTAAATACTTCCGAGGCCACTGCATGATACTATACATAGATGTTGAAAACCACAAAAGAAAACAAGCAGTAATTAGTTCCCTTTTGTTTGTGCTTCTTTATTTTTCTGGTCCCTCACATAATATTTATTGAATAAACACTTTATCTGCAGTCAAGTTGTAAACGCAGAGTGTTTGACAAGAACATTTTCGTAAAGGTTTACGCTCTGTGTTTTGAATGTGCTCAAGATTCTAAAAGTGCTTTTATATTGTGTATTGCTAAAGCAAATGGCATTAAATTATCAGAGGAAACATAGACACCGACAGAAAAACAGGGGCTGTACAGGGGCTTTCATTAGTGCTGATAATACACACAGATTTCACATACAGGATATATGTTTTCAGTTAGATGATGAAATGCATATATTAAGGTTTTTGAGTGCCATCAACACCTGAAAAACCAGAGTAAAAGAAAACACCAATCGACACCCCAAACCCCCACCCTGCCACCAAAACAAAAATGCTTTTCGAAATGATCACATTTAAGACTTATTCACTGTGCTTCAATAAGGTATAGCTCTGTTTTCGATGAAAAGATCTCAATCACATTTAATATGAAGGTAGTTTATATCATCAGACATGCATTATGCACTTTACTCTGTTATACCAGGTTACATCACTGGCTAGCCAGTTAACTAAGAATGTCCTCCGTCCCAAATTGTTTTCCGATTTGTGGTAGGCTTTTGTGCTGCTATAGTAGTATGTAATTTGGAAGAGCGGATAGCGTCGCCTCTTAAGCTGTACCCGGGCCTGTTCACTTCCTCGGATGAGAATCCAATTCGGTGTAGAGCCGGTTCAAGACGTCAGCGTTTCGACACTGTACCATTAAAGACACAGCTGCCTGACATAAAAATGGCCACATTGATGGTTTGGTCTGTCTTGAATTCAGTAAAAAGTCAACAGAAAGCTGTAGAGAAGAGAGCATGTGTGAGAATTGTGGGACGTCCTCCCTGCTTCATGTGTCAGCTCTTATAGTCTTATACACAGAGTCACTTCTGGAGCCAGAACATACAGGGGGGGGGAAGGGAGACGGTTGACGGATTGGATGCACACTACCTGATTAAGACTGAGAGGAATGGAGAGTTAAAGGGAGAGTTAGCCCAAAAATGAACGTTCTGTCATGGTTTACTCGTCTTAAACATACATGGCTTTCTTCGGTTAATCACAAAAATGAAATATAAGAATGGTTATGGTGCTAAACAACCACAGTACTGTATGTGGTCCATGACTAAAACTGCCAGAAGGTTACATTACTGTAATCTGTACCTACACTTTAAGTAAATGTAGTATGTTAATACAAGAACTTCATCGTTTTTTTTTTAAAGAATCAGCTCTCAAACTCGTTCTGAATTAGTTATATGGTTATGATCTTTCCATTTTGAGATTTGGAATACACTTGACAGGTCCTGTGAACAACGTTTATGGGAGTACAGCTAATATAATTCTTGAAAAATGAAAAATAAGTCATGTAGGTTTAAAGCGGCAGCATACAAATCATGACAGGAGTTCCATTATCTTAGGGCGTACTCTTCCTTTAAAGTGAGGGACTTATGTACATTTTCGAAGAGTCAGTTGAGTGATGCGACCATAGATGCGGCTTCCTACATCACACTGCACTTGGCCTTCAGCTTGTCTGCCCGTCTCTGCTTGCTGGAGCGCATGTTCAGACTCATATCCCGCTTCTTATCCAGATTCAGGAGCTCTTGAAAAAGCTCCTTCACATTGGTGTTGGTCTTGGCTGATGTTTCCATGAACGCGCACTTCCAGGTGTTTGCCTGAGCCTCGCCCTCCTTGGTCTCCACCTCGCGCTGGGTCTCATCGCTCTTGTTACCCACAAGCATGATGGGGATGTTCTCCACGTTGCCTTTGATGGCCAGCACTTGCTGGTAGATGGGCTTGAGCTCCTCCAGGGATTGCCTGCTGGTGATGGAGTAGACCAGGATGAAGGCATGGCCCTTGGAGATGGACAGACGCTGCATAGCCGGGAACTGGTGGCTGCCGGTGGTGTCGGTGATCTCCAGTGTGCATACGCTCTTGTCGCAGCTGATGACCTGCCGGTACGTGTCCTCCACTGTTGGGATGTAGGTGTCCCTGAAGGTGCCCTTAACAAAGCGCAGAACCAGGGAGCTCTTGCCTACACCCCCTGCTCCAAAGACCACCACTCGGTAATCGTTACTCTGCTCTGGCATGCTGCTCTGGTTTATCTGCTGGAGTATCTGCTGCTTAAGACTCAGTTATTCCCTGAGATCTGAAAAGGGAAAGAAGTTTCACTTGGTTTATATGTAGAGAAAACAACTTATCAGTTCATATACAATACTTGGAATGTTTTCAATTGATGAGAGATTCTAGAAACAGTAGGAACCCAATAGATTCATTTGTTTCATGAACATATGGAAATATTAAAGAGCCCCTATTATGGGTTTCTAAAAATGAGCTTCCATGCAGTGTGTAACACCGCTTCAAGTAAATAAAAACATTCAGCTGAGGTATAAATCTGAAAGTGCATCGTGTTTAAAACTATTGAATCTTTAACAAAACAGTCGAATCAGAGTTGAATTAATGCATCGAGTTGAGTTCGGATCTTTTGCTTGAACTCATCGACATCTATACGGTACATCACCAAATATAAAGTACCACTTCCTAGAAAATGTGAACGCGCTTTCCCTTCAGATACTAGCGGAGCGCTGGCCCGTAGAGAATCCCAGGACTGAACATGACGCAAAGATGTTGATCACTGACAGTGATACGGCTGCAGGGAATAAAGGTTTTAAGGACATTTTCACAACTGTATAGCCAACCTAGTGCTGTGTTTGTTCCTGTAATTTTTTAGATTTTTGATTCAATAACCTATTCTGCAACGCTGGATTTGTCAGCCGTTTTCTATTAGAGGAGCAGCAGAGACTATTATGTGTGGGACTTTGACAGGGACTTTGCAGTTGCAGTTCATATGGACCAGTTTCTTCTTCATTCGGATCATAACATGTAAGTGTAGTTAAAATTGTTGCCTCGATTTGTTTAGTTTACAAAATTTGTGTTTAATTGTGTGTTTTAAGTTGTAATCACTTATCTAATAGAGATCAGTGCTTGTCTGTCAAGTTAAACCTTCATGGGGCTATTCACATATTGTGTCAAAAACCACATTGGAAACACGTTGCGTGCTTCTTTCTTAACTAATTCAAACACATTACTGATTGCATGGTACGCATTACTGAATGCATTGCCTTTACTATGGCCACTATCTGCTGTTCATACATGCGCGTTGCGGTCAATTTTCAAAATAGCTCAACTTTTGCCAATGTGTTGATTAAAACTGAATGTGTGTCACTAGCGATGTTTCCATCCACCTATTTTTATGCGAATTTTGGATATGCACATGAAAAACGGTTAATGGAAACGCCATGATGCGCATACATTTTGAAAATGCAAATAAAAACCATGAGTAAGAGAAACGTTTTATTCGATAAGAAAAGATGCGCATAAACTACGATGGAAACACTTTTACTTTCATACTTTCCAGTATGCGCATTAAAAAAGGTCATGTGATTTTGTTATATGAGATCATGTGATAATGAAAATGTGTGTGAATGGACCAACCAGCAGACTTAACACATTGTAAACCACCTAAACTGTTGTTTTGGTCATTCTAAAACGCCTTACCATTTAAGTATTAGTGTTATTATATTATTAATGACCTCCAGAATCGAGAGCGCCTGTGCGCCGCGTCTGACACCTTCAAATGCCACCGCGCATTCACTACGTGTCAGGATTGCCTTAAGAAGCGCAAGTCATTTATTAGATGAAGAAAACATTGACGCAGCTTCTCCTACCGCAGTAAATTTACAGCAGGTTTTACTGTTGATATTTGGCGCGAGTTAATCAGGAAGTGACGATTTTGTGCGCTTTGACCCGTTGGATGGAAATGCTGTTTTAGTCGCATGTCTTTTATGCGATAATCCAGTTTTTCGCATAAAGTTAATTTGTATTTCTGGATGGAAGCATAGCTAATGGTTGCCACTTTCCAGTGTTATTCAAAATATATTATTTTGTGTTCAACGGAAGAAAGAAACTCAAGCAGGTTTGAGACAAGTGAAGTTGAAGTCTCCAGTCTCCAGAATTATTAGCCCCCCTGAATTATTAGCCCTTGTTTATTTTGCCCCAATTTCTGTTTAACGGAGAGAAGACACACATTTTCTAAACATAATAGTTTTAATTAGCTTATTTCTAATAACAAATTTATTTGATCTTTGCTATGATGACAGAAAATAATATTTTACTAGATATTTTTCAAGACACTTCTATACAGCTTAAAGTGACATTTAAAGGCTTAATTAGGTTAACCAGGCAGGTTAGGGTAATTAGGCAAGTTATTGTATAACGTTAGTTTGTTCTGCAGACTATCGAGGAAAAAAAAATGAGCTTAAAGGGACTAATAATTTTTACCTTAAAATGGTGTTAAAAAATGAAAAGCTGCTTTTATTCTATTAAATACATTTATATATAGTAGTTCTAGTTTTTGTTATAGTCAAAAGCAATACCAAAAAATAACTATATCCTTAAGCGTACACATTCAACGCAATACCATGCTCAAGCTTGGCTTTCTGTGTCTCTGTACCTTTTGTGTCTGTGCCATGATAACACACATTAACCCCAAATTAAAGGAAATTTGCTCAATTAAATCAAGCACAAAAGATATGCCAGCATTTGATTTGATGACCACTCGCAGATTGGGGGAGTGTTTGAAAGGATAATAATAGATGGAAATTCACATAGTATAGTATTTGATTAGGTATACCCGTTTCACTGTATGTTAATGAAATGTCTGTAGGGATATCTAATCAGCCACTCGGCAGTAATTCAATATATTTAAGCATTTAGATATGATCATAATGATCTGCTAAAGATCAAAACAAGCATCACAATGCAATTTACAGAAAAAAAAAAAACATTCAAAACATCCAATAAGTGGTAGTTCTCTGACCAAAAAATTACTTGTTGAGGATGGGATCGACACTAAATCCACAACATGTTGAAAGTAGAAGCAGATGGGCCACGGCGGAAGAAGACCACACTGGGTGTGCCTCCTGTCAGCTAAAAGCAAGAAACCATGGATACAGCTTACATACGTAGATCACCAAAATTGAACAATAAGGGAGTGAATGAAGGTAGCTTCATCTAATTTAAAAAAAAAAAAAGATATATTTCAATCTGTTAACATGGAATGAAATGTTAGCACTGGTATTTAGAATCGAATAAAGGACCACCTCAAAACATCACTAATAATGAGGCATAAGCAGATTGTATGCAAAGATTGGATACTATTTCACAAGCTAATATACGTTAACAGATATAAATTGCTATGAATAATTATGAGCTGCATTGCAAAATACTTTTTTTTTTTTACACTCAAAGTATTAACATGGCTACATAAAATTACATTTTAACCACTGAGGCCACATGCACTGTTTTCAGGGTGTCCGTGGGGTCTTAGAAAGTCTTAAGTCTTATGTCTTAAGTCTTAAATTTTAAAAACTAAAATTTAGGCCTTAAAAAGTCTTAAATTCACTGCAATAATGTGTTGTATGTCTTAAATCATTTTAAACAGGCCTAATTTTCCATTGTCCAAGTAAAGACATCCATCCAATCACAAACAATCCATCTTAATAAAAGCAGGGAAGGAAAACTAAAAACAATTACACTATTCCTAATGATAATAACAGAGCAATATATCACTTTATGTTATCTTCCATTCATACAAAAACTGTTTACAAAAGTGTGGGGAATATTAATATTTTTAAATAGGCATAAAACGTAAGGTTTCATGTGTTCACAGCAGACGTGCAGGGAGCATCAAGCGCGAGTGATTTACATGTCAAGTTAATGCAAATGCGCTAATAGGCATCCTGTGGCGCGATACGCGCAAATGGCGTGGTGCATATGATGTAAATTGCGCGAATGGCATGACGCGAATTGAGCTTTTTGCGCGTTTGGCACGCTTAACGCTTGTTTCGTGCGAAACACTCATTAACCAATCAGGAGCTTGCTCTTGTGGGGGTGTGATTATGACGCAGCGCTTGTTAATGGTGTCCCAGGGGAAAATCATCCTGCACACGACAACAGTATATCAAACTGGGCTCGGCTCAGTCAGAAGCACTGCTGAATGCTTCCATCATCCAGGTTAAGTTTCTGGATTTGCGTCATGGGCAGGGCTTCTGTCTGCCCGGTGACTGTAGCTTCGTTGCTAAATGTCTAACATGGATTTTATAAAGAGAATAGCTGTGTTTATATGCTTTATAAAGGCTAAAGAACAGCATTGATTCATTTGGAGCAGTGTCTGAGTCCACTAGATGCTTTCAGAGGTGCGCCCAGGTCTGTGAGCTCGTAAACTCCTCCAGAAACTATACCTGGATGATGGAGGCTTTCAGTGGTGCTTCTGACTGAGCCGAGCCCAGTTTGATGAACTGTTGTCGGTGTGTGCAGGAGGACACCAACAACAGGCGCTACATCATAATCACGCCCCCACAAAAGCAAGCTCCTGATTGGTTAATGCGGCGCAAATGTCCGCTGAAGTTCAGATTTTCGAACTCGAGTGATTCGCGCTAAACCCTCAATTCACGCTGTGCCATTCGCTCCTATCGTGCCACAGGATGTTTATTCACGCATTTGCATTGACTTAACATGTAAATCACTTGCGCTTGACGCTCCTTCCATGTCTGGTGTGAGCACAGCATTACAGAAATGCGTTAGGTTGAATAAAAAAGGCCAACAAATTTAGATTTGAAATTATTTATGTAATTGCCTCCAAATATACTTTTAACATTGTTAAACTTATCGTTTTAAAAACAGAAAGTAATATGTTGAAAAAAGTGTATCCAACTAGTTTTTTTATTTGACACATTGAAGTATGTCGCTAAGAAATTATTACATTTGATTTTTTTTTTTTTTTTTTTTTTTTTTTTTTTTGTGGCAAGCAAAAAAAAAATCCATTGGCCCAACCAGGTCATTACAAATAATCATTAGTGTTTAGCTCTGTATAAGTCTAAAATTTTATTCATAATAGTCCTAAAAGGGTCTTACAAAGTATTGATAAAACCTGCAGAAACCTGGAGAGATCTGAAAATGGCTGTACATTGACGCTTCCCATCCAACCTGAAAGAGCATGAGAGGTACTGCAAAGAGGAATAGGCAAAAATTCCCAAAGACAGGTGTGCCAAGCTTGTGGCATCATATTAAAAAAGACTTGACGCTGTA